TAATGCTAAAATACTTTTAATTTTGAGTGCTTGAAAGCATTGTATACAGGCCTATTGATTCATAAGTATATCAAGCAATATTACCTAGATTTGGGAATTTCTGCCTTTCTTCAATTCTGAAAGTTGTTCATATTAGTAACATATCAGAAGATAGTAGGAGCTTTACCCTAAATTAGAGTCTAATGAACACAGATCTTGTGGCATGCATAATTATTTCATATGAAGCATAGCAATTCTAGCCTGAACTTATGTGAAAACATTTTGTGCTTGCAAATAAACAAAATAAAAAGAATCTCACAGTGGAAATCACCATAGTACAGAATGTCGACCCTTCCCCCATCCTTTTTAAGCAGACTTTGCCATTATTGAGTAACCCTTAAGCTTGTTAAATACAATTTAATTTGCATTGATCAGTTCATTAATTATTAATTATCACGACGGGTTTTCGTACATCCCTATGTTCCAGATATGTTGGATTTGTGCTCCTATTCCTTGGGGAAATTTGAGAACTGTCGTCTCAAACATATCTGAAGAGTAGAGGAGAATTGAGGAAAATCAATCTAGATTATCAAATAATTATACCCTTCTGATTCATTTCTCTTTTTGTGAATAAAGTTGGTCTAGGGGAATACAAAAACTTCTTCCTTTAAGGCAGCCTTTGCTTTTGTGGACTTTCCCAGATATGTTGGATTACAAATATCATTTTTATATCCAGATTAACTATTTGGCCAGTCTCAGCAGGACCCACGGTTTCTGTATCTTTTCCAGGTAATTGGTCTGGAAAAGAAGAGCAGTGTACACCTAGTTGGTTGAGCATTAACATGACATAACACATGAGTCCCACACAGACTGTCTAAACTGGCCATCTGTTTCCTACTGTACACCTATAGTGTCTGCTATAACAATAAAGAAGACAGGCGCGAAAGCTAACCGTTATTCTCTAGCATCTGTAACCAGTGGTACCTTTGAATTGATTTCATAGAGTCATCATATAGTACTACTGGTAGTACTGACCAATCCAATCTGAATTGGTCAATTTTTTTTTAAAGTGGAGAGTTTAATAGATAGATATGGACTTGCACCTTTCAAGATTTTAAAGTTGCTCCTGTATCATAAATAGCCATTAGCATAAATAGCCATTAGTATCATTATTTATTTATAATGTACTTGGATGGTGCTATCATTTACTTGTTAGTTTACTGTGTTCCTGACAGAAATATCTTGCAGTCTAAAATTAGGTTAAGGCAGCAAAAAAGGAGAAGCAATTCGGATCAGAAAGTATGAAATGGAAATCCAATGTTTAGCCGAATACTCATTCTTTTCTATTACTTATTTTAGCCTGCAACCTTTCCACAATAGGAGCCCCTTTGATTTTCACTTTGATTTTCACTTCTTAAAGTTTGCAGTATTCATTCAGTTGGATATGTATGTATGTATGTATGTATGTATGTATGTATGTATGTATGTATGTATGTATGTATATATATGTGTGTGTGTGTGTGTGTGTGTTTATATGAATGTGCATGAACATGTGCGTGCGGTTCGCCATAAAGCAATTAGCTTAGCTTTTAACACAAAGTTTAAGTACATGGTTTGAAATATTAAGCTTCAGAATGAAGTGCTAGCTTTGGTGTGTGGCTAGAATGATTTAAAAAAAAATCTTATGTGAACACTTTTGAAATAATTCCTAGAATCTGTAGTAGTGCTATATCTGTAGTGGGATAATGGCCAGAGACTTTCCAAAGTGTCTACACCAGGGGTCTTCAAACTTGGCCATTTTATGACTTGTGGACTTCAACTCCCAGAATTCCTCAGCCAGGCACACTGGCTGAGGAATTCTGGGAGTTGAAGTCCACAAGTCATAAAAGGGCCAAGTTTGAAGACCCCTGGTGTACACTGATATCTTTCCTTGTTTTTCTGCTTTGGATCTGAGGATTTTTTAAATCTAGCTTAATACATACTTCTTTCCATGGCATTGGGCACCAATAACTATTTGGACTCCTCTCACTGCCTGGTGCTCACCTCATTTCTAAGGATTTCTACATTCATCTAAGCATAGAAACAAATAGGAGGCCAGCATGCCTCAAGTCATCATTCTCCAGCTTCACCTTTCTACATAAGAATTCCTTTGTGCCTCATGGACATTCCTGTGGCAATTCAGGGGATGCACTATGCAGTCTAAATGGCTGACTTGCTAAATGTGCCCATTGTACATAGGGCTAAAGCAAATGATACTTCCTTCCCAGGACCAATTACCAGCCTCGGTAATTGGTCCTGGGAAGGAAGTATCAACACATTGTCTTCTAGCATGCTTCCAGGTTTTTTTCTGGGCTAAAATTCTTGTAAGCCGCCAGTCCCTTGTATGAGGTGGTGGGGTGGTGTTGATATAAATAAATAAATTTAATGAATGGGAAATCTCCCCATGATAGATTTTGAAATTAGACTGCATTAAAGAAAGCCAGGGAGTTGGTTTGGCTTAATGGTGAAGGCAGCAGGCTAGAAAGTAGGAAACAGTAAGTTCTAATCCTACTTTAGGCACAAAATCAGCTTTGCGCCAGTCACTCTCTCTCAGCCCCATGAAGAAGGCAAGGGCAAATTAGTTCGGAAATCTTGCCAGGAAAACTGCAGGAACTTGCCCAGGCAGTCTCCAGGAATCGAAACTGAATCTATGGTAATACCCCACCACCATCAAAAAGGCCAAGCTTGGTGTGCAACCTTAGGAAGGCAGATGGTAGCTTCAGTAGGTTTGTCCGGAAGAAACAGAATGCAAGACTTGGGTTTAACCAATAAATCCTGATGGTGAGTCGTTTTGGCCTAAAACTCCTGATAAAAAATGTTCTGAGAATAAAGTACAATATAAGTATTTTATAACAAATTCTGTGTCTTAGGGAAAGGTTAGAGAGAAATTAATTGAATTAAATCCTTTATATTTTCTTTGGTTCCTTTTAGATGGAACCTTACGGACTTACCATTTAGAGTTGACTGCAACTTTTTCTGCAAATATAAGGGAAGGGCACTGATGACCTTTACTCTGCAAACATGTTCCGTCTCATCAAGTAGTTTGACAAGAACTATTTGGCTGCATCATTTTAAAGACTCTCTTACTTCCAAGAGCCCTAAATATCAAGCTACAGCTTTCAGTGGATGGCTTGTATTACAAACGTCTAGGAAGTAATTCCTCTGGGGATAAATTATTGCAAAATATTGTTAGTGGCAATCCTGCAAGTTTTGTTTCTGTTCTTTTTGGCAGAAAGAAAAATTTCTTTCCAACCAACAAAAAGATACTAGAGATGAAAATATTTAGCAGGAAGTATTTGTTAGTACAAGACAGAAGGCAACAAACCAGACGGTGGTACTGCTCTGATTTGACTATAAATAGACTCTGGCTGGATCAGAAAATAATGCAGAACTGGGGGAAAAAATCTGGTTATTTTTTTTTTCTGTTAAGACCAGAACAACTAAGAAACTTATGTTCTGATGTTTTGATATTGCACTTAACTCCTTTATAATTCCTTGTTCTTGTAAAAGTAGAGCTTAAGCTTTCCATATGAGCGTTACATGTAAGATGTTGACCAGGCACACTGGCTGAGGAATTCTGGGAGTTGAAGTCCACAAGTCATAAAAGGGCCGTTTTTGAAGACCCCTGCCTAATATCAGCCCTAGCCTAGGATGCCAAAGAGATTTCTCCAATGACATATATGAAACTGGATTTGGATTTGAACCAGTAAGGCTTTGGTTAAAAACAGTTCAGCCTAAACATTCACTGGGCAGCCTTGAGTAATTTACACTCTCCCAGCTTAAATGGAACACCGCTGTCTACACACTAATTCTGAAAGAAAAGGTGTTTTATACACATTTGGTAGATAAAACTGTAAAAGCCTTTTCCTCAGGGCTGAAAACATGATCAGTTGGCCCACTGTCTTCCACTAAAGGTTTATGTTGGATAAGTTCTTTTACACCACTGTTCTAGGCCCATAATTTTGGAGTATATCCACATTGAATTCAGTGGGAGTTCTGGGTAGATTTACGTAGAATTGTATTATCTGAGGCAGAAGACCATTGCATTGTAGACTTTCTTTCTACATCCTACACCCAGCTCCTGATTATTTAAGTAATTTCTTGGTTTGGAAACCTAAAAACTGCCACCAACCTTTTAAAGCACTGGAGAAACTACTTATGTTTAAAAAAATACTCTACCTGGATCCTTCTAGGGATGTATTATTTCCTTGTTTCCAAGGGAAAGGTATAATAAAATAATTGTCCATCTGTAACCTGAAGCAATAGTGGAGAAACAGGTCTACCTCACATGAAATGGAGATATCAATCATGTTTTTTTTTTCTTTATTTGCCTTCAGTTTGTTTTCATGCTCGGTTTTGTGCTTAGTCATCTCTGTTTCTTCTTAATATCTTCTGCTGCCAACCACTATTTGTTCTTTTCTTTTTTTCTTTTTGTTTGTATCTTTGAGTCAGTCTGGTCTCCTAGATAGGTAGGTAGGTAGGTAGGTAGGTAGAGAGATAGATAGAGAGATAGAGAGATAGAGAGATAGAGATAGATATACTAGAGAGAGAGGGAGGGAGGGAGAGAGAGAGGGAGGGAGGGAGGGAGAGAGAGACTGGTCCAAAGTCAAGTAAGGTGCGAGTAGAACTCACAATCTCCTGGTTTTTAGCCAGATGCCTTAACTATTACACCAAACCAGCTTTCAATGCTACTACTACTACAACAACATGAATTTATAAAGTATTTTATGTCTTTTTTATTTCATAAGATAGGCTACTAATGTTCTTAGAAAAAAGTATAGATGCAGTAGTAAGGTGTGCCCCAAACCACTGAATAATTCCATAACAATTAAATGAACTTTCACGAATACAAATACAAGACTGTTGATTATTGAAGATGTCTCTTCCTGCTTCTGAATCAGATTTTAAGAGAGCATCTGAAACTATGGCCCCTTGCATTGGCAATGCAAATGATTGTTTTTCTTTGTGTAACTTGTATTTAGGTCACGGAGAATGTCACTGCGGGGAATGTAAGTGCCATCCTGGCTATATTGGGGACAACTGCAACTGCTCAACGGACACAGGCCGGTGTCTTTCTAACGATGGCCAAATGTGCAGTGGCCGAGGCAACTGCATCTGTGGGAAATGCCAGTGCACTGAACCTGGAGCTTTTGGGGAGACTTGTGAGAAGTGTCCCACCTGCCCGGGTGTTTGCAGTACTAAAAGGTATGTGCCAACATCTAGATTCAAAACCACTCAAAGATTAGTGTTATGACATGGTCTCCTTTGTGGTTTCTCAGATGCATTACTGCCCTTCCAATCCTGAATACAGGTAGCCCTCAACAAGTATTCCTTTAGTGACCGTTTGAAGTTACAAAGGCACTGGAAAAAGTGACTTATGACCGTTTGTCACACTTACGACCATTGCAGCATCCCCCATGGTCACACGTGATTAAAATTTGGAAGCTTGGCACCTGGCTCATATTTATGACAGGTACAGTGTCCCGGGGTCACGTGATCACCTTTTGCCACCTTCTGACAAGCCGAGTCAATGGGGAAGTCACGTTCACTTAACAACCATGTTGCTAACTTAACAACTGTGGTGATTCATTCAACAACTGTAGCAAGAAAGGTCGTAAAACGGGCCAAGACTCATTTAACAAATGTTTTACTTAGGAGCGGAAATTTGGGGCTCGATTGTGGTCGTAAGTCGAGGACTGCCTATACTTCTGCAAATATGAAAAAAAGTGGTGATTATCAAAGCTTTGACAGAGGTTACTGTAAAGGAGATCGTTCTAAAGTGCTTCGTAGCATGAAAGTTGGGGCTTGGCTTTTGTATAAAAGAAACTCTAGAATAGAGTTTAACAATAGAACATGGAATAGAACTTTCCTGGAGATCACATGTTAGTGATTTGCTTATCTTCTCTTGTTCTGCTCCAGGAGTCCAAGACCCACGTAATGGAATATGAGTGACTAATCTTGCTTCGGGACTGTACAATTTGTGACCCTTTACCCAGGTTGAAAACAGCAGAGTGTTCATACGTTGTAGCTTGTCAGAAATCCCAGTTTCTTTAGCCTTAGACAGCTGAGAAAACCAAGTGATGTATGAAAATAGGATAAATCACTAGTCTACTATGTTCTGTTTTGCTTAGTGCAACCCCCCACCCTGCATTTTTATCCTTCGTTCCAATTTTATTTAGCCTCAATAGACTCATTTGGGACTATTCCAGGGAATTGTTCCCTAAAGCAAGTCCTCTCTTGAATAATTTCTCTTTGAAGTGCTTTTATCCTTTTTTATGAATATTCTTATGGTGAGGCTAACAAAGCTAAAATCACTTCCTGGAAAGATTTAACAGTCAAACGATAGATAATTTATGTAGATTAAATAGGAATAAAAACATCAAAACAGCTTTGTTTGAGATAATATTGTGGTACATATTATATTATGTGTTAAGAAAGTCCTTGACCCACACATCAGCAGCTGACCTGTTTTATCTGATGCCAGATGTTCAAAAGAATACAAATGTTACGATCTGGTGGGTCTTCTGTGGATGCATAATCCTGTCACAAAGCTGAATCCAAATTTGAATAGATTCACGAGCAGCGGTGGGGAACTATGGCCCTTTATGACTTGTGGACTTCAACTCCCAGAATTCCTGAGCCAGCATGGCTGGCTCAGGGATTCTGCGAGTTGGTCCACAAGTCATAAAAGGACCATAGTTCCCCACCCCTGTTCTAGAGCAATAATTTGTATTATGTCAGGGGCCATTGCAGCTTTAAAGAAGGGAGTCATTCAGACTCCTGGTGCTATAGTTAGAATATTAAGACTCATTTCTCCTTTTATTGCCATCACGTATTAGATTAGGGCTCTCTAAACTTGCCAACTTTAGTGTAGACTTCAGCTCTCAGAATTCCCCAGCCAGCATGGCTGGCTGAGGCGTTCTGGGAGTTGAAGTTCACAAGTCCTAAAATTGCCAAGTTGGAGACCCCTGTATTAGAGGTTGAACTCAAGGGAATAATTTACCTGAATATGTAATATTGATACAGTTGGAATAACAACCTATTTTGGGTTGGAATATTTGAAGCTCATTCTTCTCTTTGCATGTTATAATAGCCACAAGGG